TGAGAAAGCAAGCTGTGAGCCCCAGGACTCAACCCACAGTTAGCCATGTGGGAGTCTGGTGCCCTTAACTGCCATGCTACCTGCTGGGCCCTATTATTTAAAAAAAAACTGGACCAGAGAGAGGGGAAAGAAAGAGGGACTGTGACAGAGCAAGTTACCAAGCCTAGGATTGAACCAGGGTCACCCATGTGGAAGTCTTGTGCCTTGACTACTACGCCACCTGCTGGTCCCACATGGTACCTTTTATTTGTTTGTGTTTTAGTTATCAGTGTATGCACTCACCAGAGATAAAGAGAAAAGTGTCCCTACACCCAAGGGACATGGTCATGCCACAATTCTTTTCCTTTGTTGTTTCTCCATCTCATCAAGATTTGGGGCATGCACACACACACTCATGGTTTTCAAGTCTTGGGACCTGGATTTGAACTGCGGTTGATCATGTCGGATCCAGCTCCTTACATGGTGCATAACCACTGCACTCCAGGGCTGGCCTCATGTGAAAAAGTCAAGGCAATAGGAAGCACTGAGAGACATTCACACACAGAGATAAAAAATCGCTCTGAGTTCAGAAATGCTGCTTAGGACTGAGATGGACAGGGCAGAGGTCAAGGACACAGCTTTGATAGGACCTTTTAGGATGAAATGGGCATCTAATCATTTACAGAGATCCTGAAAAGACAGGAAATGATTTGATATCACTGAATAAAAGTTCATGTAGGCAAGTGGTAAAAACAGATCCAGAGCAGTATGTGCACAGGGTGTAGAAGAACCTGAACAGTTGTTGGTTTTTTTTTTTTTTTTTTAGGTTTTTGCCATTGAGCACATGTGCTCGCTCACTGGAGAGAAACAGAGAGAACAGTGAGAGAGAAAGTGAGAAATCCTCCCCTCAGAGGGGATGTTCAAATTAGAAAAAAATCTTTAAAAAATCTTTTGATGAATTGGATGTTAGAATAGAAGGAGAAAAAGATGTCAGAAACTCAGAATAAATAAATAACAAAATTAGGAGGTTAACTATCTACCTCTAGTATCTTAAAAAATTTATCTCTTTAAAAACAAGGAACAACTCCTAAAAGAGTTTTGGGTAATGTAATAGAACAAGTGTTTAGGAGACTTTGCTACAAAAGATGGACAGATTCTATAAAGAATCCAGCCTCCAGTGAGGTTAACCATCTACATCTAGTTCTTAAAAAATTTATCTCTTTAAAAACATAGAACAACTCCTAAAAGAGTTTTGGGTAATGTAATAGAACAAGTGTTTAGGAGACTTTGCTACAAAAGATGGACAGATTCTATAAAGAATCCAGCCTCCAGTGGATGTGGTCATCGTATGACTCTGAAACTGTGGTTCTTTGATTTTGCTGTATGGAGACTCAGCGTAGCCACGTCTCGAGAGACCCAAAGACTCAACCAATTGGTACTTGCCATCATTAGACACGTTATAATCTCCGTTTTACAAAACGTTCAACTAAAATTCCAGTATTTCAGACTATTAGGCAGTCCTTCCAAGAGAAACCATGGTTTCTGCCAAGGCACTAATAATGCAAAGAATGTGCGCAATCTGTAGTATGTGTAAGTCTTTCCTGGACATGTGAGCCCCGTCTTTAACATTTATCTGGTCTCCTTTGCCATTTTATGAACTCAGTTAAGTTGGGGCTTAGGGACCAGCAGTGTGGTAGTTAAGGCTCTGGGCTCCCACATGGCCAATAGCAATTCAAGTTCTGGACCTGGCAGCTTGATTTCTCACTTTTCCTTTTTTTTTTCCTCTCTCTCTCTTTGTCTCTTTCTGGTGAGCACATGTGCCCTGTTGCAAATTTTAAAATAATAATAATAATAATAAATAGAATTAAGGAAATAATTATTTTTATTAAAGAGATCTTTGTTGTAGGGTTTGTGTGCTTGCCAGAGAGACAGAGACAGAAAGGAAAAAAAGGAAATCACTCCCCAGGGGAGATGGCCACACTGCAAACCCTTCTCCTCCATTCTCCTCTTGGGATTTTGGGCACGCATGCACCACGTGTGCCTGGTGTGAGTAAGCCACCCAGTTGAGACTTGAACAGCTGTTGACTACATGGGAGTCCAGTGACATAACCATTATGCAATCTGCTGGTCCCAAATAAATGATTCTTAAAAAATGCTGGGGCTTGTCTTACCTTCTGTGTTTTGTGTGTGTCACAGTCACATGCAACAATTCTGAATGAGTTGTTTCTATCATGGCTGCTTTTTATAGTAGTCCCTACTGGCCCTCTTAATGGAACTATTAGCTTAGGAAAACTATGTGTATATATTTATATTAGCTTAGGAAAACTATGTGTGTGTGTGTGTGTGTGTGTGTGTATATATATATATATAATATATAAAATATATATGTGTATATATATTAATATATACACACACACGTCACATACATACATACACACATATATGTGTGTGTGTGTATATATGAAGAGGAGTGAATTGCCAATGTATTTTGGATTGGGGTGAATTTACGAGAAACTTTTTTGCTTGGCTTTAGAGTCTGGTCGACCCCTGAACAACGTCAACAACAGCACTGCACACTTGAGTCCATCCAATTACGTACTTTTGGCTGGCAGTTTTCTTGCACAACACCTTTCTCAATGCCTTGTTGTGTAATGTATTCATGAGGAAGTATAAATAGCTAGTCGTTGGCTGAGATTTAATAGAAAAGCTTTTTGGTGATCCGTAATATAAGAATCTGAGCTTGTGTTTCAAACATCACTACATTTTAGTTATGATTGCCTCATATTTCCCAAAATGTGCTCCCATCTTTGTCTTCTTTGTTCTGAGTGTTGGCGCCATGGATACTTTCATTGCTGCAGTGTATGAACATGCTGTTATATTACCAAACAGAACAGAGACACCTGTTTCAAAAAAAGAAGCTTTGCTCCTTGTGAATAAGAACATAGACGTTTTGGAGAAAGCAGTTAAGCTGGCAGCCACGCAGGTACTGTCCCTTTAATACTGGCTTTTATTGTAAAGGAAATTTGTGACTTGGTAAGAGTGTGGGTATTTGGAATTTATGAGAAACGTTTTTGCCCCTACTTGCTTTGAGCAGGGTGCACATATCATTGTGACCCCAGAAGATGGAATCTATGGTTGGGTCTTCACCAGAGAGACCATTTACCCCTATCTGGAGGATATACCAGATCCTGCAGTGAACTGGATTCCATGTAAAGACCCCAAGAGGTAATGTCATGTTGTTATTCCTTGATTTTGGAATCAAAATTGTTATATTTTATAACATAAAATGCCAGTAGAAAATTCATTAAGCTTGACTAGTAATTTTGCTGACAAACTGTCAGTCTTTGGCACCAGATTTAGATATATCAAACACTTTGTAATGTCTGCCGTATGGCATGGTTCCTGTTTGGGAACGACAGTGATGTTTGGTTGATTATTTGTTTCAGTTTTCTTCAAAGGTTAGTATGTGTATACACAATTTTTATTATAAATGTGCTTAACCGGTTTCAATAAAATGAGGAAGTTCTTATACCTAGGGCCTGTATTCTCATATGCAAGTAAGCTGGTTCTTCCAGGTACACCTGCCTCCTTTGTGGGAATGGTAAAAGAGATGAATGAATCTATGTTTTATTTTATTTGTTTTAATTTTGCCAGAGGGCACATGCACTAGCCAGAGACAGACAGAGAGACAGAATGGGAGAGGCCGAAGTCACCCCTCCCATGGGGCATGGTCACTTTTCAATCCCTTCTCCTCTTTTTTTTTCTGTCCTGTTATGATTTTGAGCATGCAAACACATGCACCTGGTATATTTTGAAGCCTCCAGGCCTGGGACTTAAACTGTGTGGTTGATCAAGTGGGATTTGGCTCCTTTAATCACTAGGCCCCAAGTCTATGTTTCTTAAAAACTTTGTTATCACTGTCATTTATAGTGTAATCAATAAAGTATATAGAAACTGCATAGGACTTGGGACTAGCAGTTGGCATAATGGCTATGTTGCTGGACTCCCATGTAGTACACCATGGTTCAAGTCCTGAACCCAGTGGCATAAACTCATGCCAGGCACGTGTGCGTGCATGCCCAAGATCCTAAGAGGAGAATGGAGAAGGGATTGCGGCCTGGCCATCCCCCCCTGGGGGTGATTTCTCGCTTTCTGTTTCTCTCTTTCTTGTGAGTGCATGCTCCCTATAGCAAAAATCTCTCCAAAAGAAAAACAAAATAGAAAAAAACAAAAACAAAGAAAGTGCATGGGACTTGAAAAAGGAAGTACTGCTTCTGAGACCACATTTTCTATATTCTAGCTGAGCAATGTGGGACAAATAACCTAAATGCTTGGCATCTCTGTTTCTTTTTCTGTAAAACAGAGATAATTAAGTCTCCTCTTTCCTTCTCTTACACAGTAAACGAGAATATCAGATGAAGTCATGCATGGGATCTGTGCACTGAAGGGCTTTCTCCAATCTTAGTTGCATTGTTCCACTTTTAACAGAAAGAACTGAATCTGCACTTTGTTTTCTTGATCATAGAGAGATTTTAATAATTAGTAACAGTTGTATTTTGGCATAACTTTTTAACTTAAAGAACTATGTTATTTATCTTTTCTTATCTGTTTAAATTTTTATTTATTTATTTATTTTAATTTGACCAGAGAGGGATGGGGGTTGGGGAGAGGTGAAAAAACAAGCCACCAGGTCTAGGAATAGAACCGCTGTCAGTCATGTGAGAGTCCAGCATCCTTAACCACATGCCACCTGCTGGCTCCATGCTTAACTTTCTTAAGGAAAAGATGTATAACAAAAAGATTTATGAAATAGATTATTTTAGGTGCATTTCTTTCTAAATTATAGTTCATATATAATTCCTTAAAGTAGCAAAATGAATGCATTAAAAAGTAATTTAATTTTCTAATTGTAAATTTACATGCACCTGTTCAAAAGTGCATTATTGCTCAAAAAGAGAAATTTCTTTAATAATTTTGACCGCATGAAAATCAATTGGAAATTCAAGTCCCATATTACAACATACTGGTTCTGCTATGTGAGACAAGCCCTACCCTGGGATTTTCACCTTTGGAAAAATATTCTCTAAAAATTGCATGGTCCTTGTTTATAGAAACCATGACTCAGTGTCTATTTGCTTATGAGATTTTTCCCAGAAGAGGAAGGAATAATTTGCTACTTTTCAAAGGGCGTACACTACAGTACACTCTATTCTCCTTGGAAAAAACTGACTTTACTAGTGGAAAATATCCATAAACCTGATCATTGACCTTAGATCAATTATGTGAAGTTAGGAAGGTAAAAGACTAATGAAATTTCAGCATTATTAAGTCTTGCAGACATTTATTCAAGTGGAAAACTTTTAGCTCTGTGTCTTAAAATGGAAAGACCCAATAATATTGAAAAAGAAAGCTCAGTTTCTTCCTTAATAATACAAAGGATCTTCAGAATGTTCACAGAAACCCTGTATTATAAAAACAACTGCACATATATTTTGAATTATGATTTCTTTTAGGTTTTTGCCATAGATTATTTTCACACCACAATAAACTTATATTTTAATTCCATTGTTCCTCAAACTTTTATAAGTCTTCTCATATTTATCCCTGAAAGGGAAAACAGAGGACCCCGTGGTCATCCTCGGGTGTTTAGAATGCTAGCATACTATTCAGAGCACTTCCTCGGTCTTTTTGTTGAGGAACTAATAGCAAACACTAACAAATCTGAATTAATCAGCCCAGAAAAGAAAGTCAAACAAAAGTATATGATAAACTTATTAAAAGTTTCTTTTTTTCTTTTTTTAGAGAGAGATTTTTTTGCTATAGGGCATGTGTGCTTGCTGGAGAAACAGAGAGACAGAAAGTGAGAAATCACTCCCCAGGGGCGGGATGGCCATGCTGCAATTCCCTCACTTCCATTCTCTTCTTGGGATCTTGGGTATGCATGCACACATGTCCAGCATGAGGCGTAAGACACTAGGTCTGGAACTCGAACCGTAGTCGACTGTGGGAGTACAGAGGCGCAACCATTGTGCCATCCGTCAGTTGCTAAAGGTCTTAATAAATATGAATAGTGATAGTATTACTGTTTTAAATGAAGGAAGAAAAGAAAAGATCTAAACTAGAAAGTCATTAACTTTATTCCTTTTTTAAAAATTGTTTTTAAATTTAACTTACTTTATTTATTTATTTATTTATTTATTTATTTATTTATTTATTTATTTATTTTCATTTGACCAGAGAGGGACGGAGTGAAAGAGGGAGAGAGAGGGAAAGTGAGAAAGTAAACCACCAGGTCCGGAATTCAAACTGTAGTTGACCATGTGGGAATCCAGCACCCTTAATCATCACGCCACCTGCTGGCCCCTTAACTTATTCCTTTTTTTAAAGTGTGTTTCTTTATTTCTCTAATGAGAGAGAGGGACAGAGAAAGAAAGTGAGATAAAGGACTCTTTGACAGGGTCTTCCTCCCATAATCCCTGTCTCCCAGGTTTCAGCTGTCTCTTACCTGGTTGTGCAAGCACCCTGACCTCCCCAGCATGCTCAGGGAGGACCCCATGTGCAAGCCAGGATCTTTCTCATGTAGACACAGTAACTTTACCATTGAACCACCACTTGGCCCCCCTAGTCTGTCCTTTTTATTCAAAAAATAGCTCAACCCCACTTGCCGTGAGGCTGAGTGATCAGGCGACCAGGGAGAGACCCCTGTGGTCTTGAAAAGCAATAAAGTCATCACTACCCTTGTTTGCCTTCTTGTTATTACAGAATTCTTAACAGCCATTTTTAGTTTACTGGGCTTACTTGACTCTAGGAACTATATCTGGTGTATTACGCATGTAATCTCACTCAAATTATGTGATTCGGTATCACTATTTGCATTGTAAATATTAGGAAAAATGGAGGGCAAGTTCTCCTAACTGGTAACTAAAATAAAAACACAGCCGTTTTCAGTAAGGCATGGTAACCAAAGGGACCCTGAGTCTCAGTGCACAATACCAGGCTGGAATTTCAGTAACTAGTAAGGACACTCATTTGCTAGGGTAGGCTGCTGGCTCAAAATGTTTTTTTTTTGTTTGTTTGTTTATTTGTTTGTTTTTTGCTAAAAAAAATCTGCCTTCTGATACTTCCTTTCATTTTTGTTCCACACTCGATAGTACATTTACATTACCATTTCACTACAGTCTCTTTTCATTTTTAGAATAAATATGCCCAGTGTGGATGGATTTGACATTATTTGCACAGTAATTCCATGCCTGTACTTAAGTCAGAACTTCTCATCAGGTTCCTTTGAGTCTGAAAAGAAGCTATTGTTATATTTGACAGTTGAGGAAACTGAGGCAGCACTGTGTTATCCAGACCAGACCTAAGTTCTCAGTCCTCCTGCCGCAGTCTCCCATAGTCACTGGGGTTGCCGGGTGCACACTACTGTTCCTGGCTGTTAGGTTGGACTGGGAATTGAACTCAGAAATTGAATTCCCATTGAACCCAGGAACTGAACCTAGAAATTGGCTTTTCGTGCAGTCCTAACCTGTGAAGCACAGTATCTTAGCACATGTTACTGTGGCTGGATCTGCTTTTCTTTTCTTCCTTCTTTATAATCTTAGTTTTTTACATCTCCACTACATAATGCTACATTTGTCCTCTGTAGAAGATGACACCCATGGGATCAACTATCACTGCCACCCGTTCGTGTTTCTGACCACGCCTCACAGAGGCGGCTTTGTAATACCTGCAGTGTAGCTTCGTTTATAGAAAAGGTCCTCCCCATTAGAAGAGTCTGTTAAATTTCAAACTATTTACCTTTCTGGGAGCACTTTTTAAGGGAAATTGTCACTTCTTCTCCTCTTCTTCCTCCTCTATCTTTTTTATGTTTCAGAAATCACTGCACTATAGTAAGTTTAAAAAAGTATCTATTGATTTAGGTTTGGCAACACACCAGTGCAAGAAAGGCTCAGCTGCCTGGCCAAGGACAACTCTATCTATCTCGTGGCAAATATAGGAGACAAGAAGCCATGCAACACCAGTGATCCTCAGTGTCCCCCTGACGGCCGTTACCAGTACAACACTGACGTGGTGTTTGATTCCAAGGGTAGGCTTGTGGCACGCTACCATAAGGTGAGAACTACTTGTGCCTTACCTAAACTAGGTTTACCTCTTTTGCTTGTGGTATGTACATATTCTTGTTTGTTGAATGTTGGGGAGAGAACTGCTATGATTGTAGCTTTCAATTACCTTCTAGTTGATAGGGGATGCAATTTACTTCAGTCCCATAAGGGCTCCGAGTTTGAATTTGCCATAAAATACAAAGGACCCTGAGTTAGAATTTGTAATAAAAAAAGAAAAATGCAGAATGTTAAAACAGCTGCAATAAGAGCCTCTCAAAGATTTTAATTTCTTCTGCGGAAGAAGAAGAAGAAATGTTCTACTTAATCTATGATTTCATATCAGAGTTCATTTCTTGTCTCAATTGGTTATTTCATTCTAAGCTACCATTTATTCCATTAGGACTTTTTTATTGCAATGCAATAAAACCCCAACTAAAATTGGCTTTACATAAAGAGGAGAGTTTTCTTGTTTATGCACTGAAAAAAAAATGTATACACACACACATACACACATATGCACACACACATATATACACACACACAAACACACACACACATACATACATATTGCAGAAAAACGAGATCTCGTTTCAGAAGCAGTCTGCCCTCAAAGACTCAAAAGGTGTCACCTGTCCCTTATCTCTTAGCCTTTTGTTACAGCTGCTTCTCAGGATAACCCTCCCTGAAGAAGAGAAGCCACATGGCCACAGCAACACATAGATCAATCTTTACAAACAAAATCCATGAAAAGAGTATATTTCTCTTTTTGAGAAACCCTGCAAAGGCCTTAATCACAATGAGGTGGCATGTCTTCTCTGAGCTGGTCTGTGAAGGAGGAAGGATACACAGGAGGAAAGTGGAAAAGCAAGAGATGCTCAAAGAATTGTGGGGATGAGGGTGGGGGGAGGAGCAGTAGCTCTTGCCAGAACACACACATGCCAACATCAGCCCAAATAAACATCTGGCAAAACATGCAAGGGCCTTCAAAGAGTTCGTGGGAAAATGGAATTGAAATATGAGTTTATCATGCTGGACGTATGTGGATGCATGCCCAAAATCCCAAGAGAAGAATGGAGGAGAAGGGATTGCAGTATGGCTATACCCCCTGCCAGGTGGTTTCTCATTTTCTGTCTTTCTGGTGAGCTCATGCACCCTATAGCAAAAATCACTCTTAAAAAAAAAGTTAATTTTGGTGCAAAAAAAGAAAAGAAAGAAAAGCATGCACTGTTTTTTCATAATATGCATTTTTCATAAACTTTTGAAGGCCCCCCCCCCATATCTTGTATTTCTGAGCCTAGACTAAGTGGAGTTTGTAGCAATAATTAGACTAAAACATAAAATTACTAAGGGCTTTTTTTTTTCTTTGAGAGATATTTGCTCTATGGTAAAGTGTGCTCACTGGAGAGAGAGACAGACAGAAAGTGAGAAATCACCCCCACAGGGGGGATGGCCACGCTGCAATCCCTTCTCCTCCATTATCCTCTCAGGATCTTGGGCACACATGCATACACTCCCAGTGTGAGTTTCAAGCTGCTGGAACTAAGACTTGAACCATTGTTGACTATGGGGGAGTCTAGCACCTTAACCACTATACCACCTGCTGACTCCACTAATGGATTCTTAATTAACAAGATATAGTTACAGCACTAAGTTCATTTTAAATTTACTTCAGTTTGCTTACAGAAGCCTAGCAATATCTTACATACGGCAACATTTATTTCATCTACATGTGTTAGACTTTGTAAAGGCAATGTTGTTGATATTTAAAGAACACAAGAAACAATTCAAACAATGTTAGATTTCAAGATTTTAACCTGTGATTTTTAAGATAGAAATATTTTTATTTTAAAAAATAATTTAGAGATATTATTTCACTCATTCACTGTAAACAAATGGTTTCCAACTTACGTCACAGTAAAGAAACTTCCAGAATCTGATAGAGTGGGTGTGACTGATGAAGATTTATATGTAGCAGTGCCAAATGCATACATCATCATGCATGGGATAAAAGATTTTTATGGATATTGATCACACCTATTTGACAGTTTTCTTATTTGTTTTTTCCCTTCTTTGCTTTTTGTTAACAGTACAATCTCTTTGCACCTGAAATTCAGTTTGACTTCCCCAAGGATTCAGAATTTGTGACTTTCGATACTCCTTTTGGGAAGTTTGGCATTTTCACTTGCTTTGACATTTTTTCTCATGACCCTGCTGTAGTGGTTGTAGAGCAGTTTCAAGTTGACAGCGTTCTCTACCCCACCGCCTGGTACAACACGCTGCCCCTCCTCTCGGCTGTTCCATTCCACTCAGCATGGGCCAGAGCCATGGGCGTCAACCTGCTTGCTGCAAATACCCACAACACCACCATGCATATGACAGGTAACACATGCTAGTCAAGCACTGAGTGGCAGTGACAATCTTGGGAAGTCTGCATTGACTTTTAAGCCACACTTTTCTTTAATGGTTCTCTTATCGACTCTAATAACACAAAATTAACAATTGCATGGGTTTCTATAGTACTTGAAGCATATTATTCTTATGAATAAGAGGCAAACATTATTATTTCAGTTTTTAAAAATTATTTTATTTTACTTTATCTATTTATTTTAATTTGACCAGAGAGGGGGAGAGAGAGAGAAAGAGAAAGCAAGAAAACAAGCTGCCAGATCCAGGACTTGAACCATGGTCAGCCATGCAGGAGACCAGCACCCGCAACCACCATGCTACCTGCTGGCCCCCTATTATTTCAATTTTACACGAAAAGAAATTGAAGGGTAGGAAAAAAGTGAAGCCCGATACGTTGGCTGAGGTTGGCATGTGTTGTTATTTAGCTTGTGCAAACAGTCAGAAGCAGAACCGTTGGGTCATAGAGCAGTGAGCGGCCTAGGTGGTTTCCAAGCTGATCGTCCCATTTCAGAAGCCTTTTGTTTTTAGCTGGCAAATATTGATGGTGAGCTTGTTTCTTGTGCTTACTGATGGTGAATGTTTTTTCTTCCATGAAGTGGTTGTTTAAATAACTTTTTCCAACATTTACCATTGCTTTGTGTTGTGCAAGTTTGAAACACCCCACAGATCTATACAATAATTATATGTAAATTAGAAATTACAATAAAAATGATACTTTCTGCAGAGGGGGGATATTCGGGTCATATAAAGAAAATCAAAAACAGGGACTGGACTCCATTGACCAGGGTTTAAGTCCCAGACCCAGTGGTTTAAAACTCATGTCAGATGCATGTGGGTTTATGCCCAAGATCCCGAGAGGAGAATGGAGGAGAAGGGATTGCGGCGTGACCATCCCCCCTGGGGGGTAATTTCTCACTTTCTGTCTCTCTGTCTTTCAGGTGAGCACACACATCTTATAGCAAAAATCTCTCTCTCTAAAAAAAAAAAAAATCAAAGATCTAAGGAGCTTCCTGGTCAAAATCCATTAATAATATTGAAGTAGATGAGGGGACTTCAAAAAGTTTATGAAAAAATGGAATTAAAATTTATTTTGGTACAAATCCATGGATAGTTTTTCATAGCATTCATTTTCCACCAACTTTTCAAAGACTCTCTGGTATTTTGTTGAAGTGATAAAATCACTTTAAGCTAATCATGTTTTTAGAGTTTATTTTTTATACACTTATGTTCAAGGTAATGCAAGCTCTATTCCTAAATGGCTTGTTTGCAGATGCAGGTGAAGAATTCCAAACACAAATAAATTAAATAGTTCAAAAGAGAGTCAAAAATTATTCTTCATGTTTGGGAAATTCTTTTTTACATTTTTTCATTGCTAGAGGATACATGCATTAGCCAGAAAGACACAGAGAAGGGGAGAGAGAGAGAGAGAGAGAGAGAGAGAGAGAGAGAAAGTACCCTCCAAGGGGGCATGGTTATTTATAATCCCTTCTCCCCATTTCTCCATCTTGTAGGGATTCTGGCATGCACATACACATACCTTGTGTGTTTTTCAAGCATCTGAGCCTGGAAATCAACCTGTGGTCGGTCAGCCGTGTAGGATCTGTGGGACTGACCCCGGCAATTTTCAATTTGGCTCGCACGAAGTTATCTTAAATAAAAAGAAATTATCCCTCCACATCAAATGATAACTTCCGTGTAAGTAGTACTTATATGGTGAGTCAAGTTGGAGCTTATGCCAGTGTAACAGCTATCTCCTTAACTACCTTGAAAATATTTATACTTAATAATTTTATTTTTCCCATGGACTAATTCTATCAATTTGTCACCATAAGCCATCTGAAACCATTATTTGTGTTTCTTGATGTCTGTAGGAAGTGGGATCTACGCCCCAGAAGCTGTCAAGGTGTATCATTATGACATGGAAACAGAGAGTGGTCAGCTGATGCTATCAGAATTGAAGTCTCGGCCTCGCCTTGAGTCCTCTTACCCTGCCGCTGTTGACTGGAGCTCTTATGCCAAGAGGATCAAGTCATTCTCCTCTGAGCAGTCAGATTTTTCAGGGATGATTTATTTTGATGAGTTCACCTTCACTGAGCTTAAGAGAAACACGGGAAATTATACAGTGTGTCAGAAAGACCTGTGTTGTCACTTAACATACAAGATGTCTGAGAAGCGAACAGATGAGGTCTATGCCCTGGGTGCTTTCGATGGCCTGCACACGGTAGAAGGTCAATATTACCAACAGGTAGAGGGGCTTAAAATGTTTAATTTGCCTTATTATTAATTTTTCTTCTTGGTTATCGTTGCCTTTCCTTAAAAATTGTACTAGATTCAGTTAATTAGCATATTGTTACATATATCCCTATTATTTTTTTTATCCCAGTTGATCTTAGCAAGAACAAAATTAGTTCTCTTGGCTGCAATGTAAAAACATAACATAGATAGATTAGTTTTGAGTAGGGTAGGTTTAAGTTTAAAAAGTTGCAACTGCCATGCATTCTCCTTTTCTATTAGGCTATTTTAGGCACTGATTTCCAACTCTCCTCAACTGAGAGTCCAGAATAAGATTTTGCATGATGATTTAGTATAATTATGTGGTTGTGTAACTTAATTAAAAGAAATATTTAGTTGAAACAGCTTATGAAATAATTCAAATAAAAATTAAAAATAGCTATAATTATGTGCAATCACCAACATTTTTCAAAATTCTAGCCTATTTCTTTCTTTCTTTTTTGTAATGTGCCAGAGTGTGTGCACTTGCTGGAGGAGGGTGGGGGGGAGTGAGAAAGCACACCCCCATGAAGAATGATCATGTTGCAATCCCTTTTCCTCAATTTTTCCCTCTTTTTAGGATATTGGGCATGCATGCACACATGCCAGACATGTTTTTCAAGACACTGGGTCCAGGACTTGAACCACACTGTCAGCCATGTGGGATCCAGGCTGCTTTAACTACCATGCCATTGGGTAGTGTATTCTGGGTCTATTACTTTTCACATCATTTATTTAAAAAGGCTAATCCTGACCCATTGAATTGATTTTAAGATTCATTAATTACTTTCTGAAAAATGCTGCTTGAGATCAAACATTCAACTAATCTTTAAAATTGTGTTATTCAGTTGAGAATGTATTTCCAAATTTTCTGATTACTTTTTTCTTTTTCTACATAGATATGCACATTACTTAAGTGTCAAACCACAGACTTGAGCACCTGTGGGGAGCCTGTAGGGTCCGCTTTTACCAAGTTTGAAGAATTCTCCCTCAGTGGCACATTTGGAACGAGTCATGTCTTCCCACAGATTGTTCTAAGTGGGAGTCAGCTTGCCCCTGAAACACATTATGAGGTAGGAGGTTTTTGGGATGACAAATGTCTTCAGTTAAATGAGGTAGACCTGCATAATAAAAATCTTTGATATGATGAGACGGTATTGTAATATTATGATTCACATTATATAGGAGACACTTTTAAAATAAAATGATAAAGGGTGTGTGTGTGTGCCAGAGAGAAACAGGTAGAGATGGAGAGGGAGAAAGTACCCTTTAATGAAGTGTGGTTATGCCACAATTCTTTTTTCTCCACTTATCCATCTTTTCTGATTTTTTTTTTTTTTGGCAAGGTTTTTGCTCCAGGGCACATGTGCACGCCAGAAAGACAGAGAGAGACAGACAGTCAGAAAGTGAGAAATCACCTCCCGGGGGGATGGCCACACCGCAATCCCTTCTCCTCCATTCTCCTTTCAGGATCTTGGGCACACACACACGTGCCTGGAGTGAGTTTAAGCCAACGGGTCCAGGTCACCAACCATGACTGACTACGTGGGAGTTCAGCGATATAACCATTATGCCAACTGCTGGTCCCTGATTTTTTTTTTTTTAAAGAGAGATTTTTGGTATAGGGCATGTGTGCTCGCTGGAGAGAACAAGAGAGACAGAAAGTGAAAAATCACCCCTTAGAGGGGATGGCCATGGTGTAATCCCTTCTCCACCATTTTCCTCTTGGGATTTTGGGCATGCACACACACGTGCCCAACATGAGGTTTAAGCTGCTGGGTCCAGAACTCAAACTGCAGTTGACTATGTGGGAGTCCAGTGATGTAACCATTATGCCACCTGCTGGTCCTTCTTTTCTGGATTTTGAGTATACAACCACAAGCACCTGACATATTTTTCAAGCTGCTAGAGGACTCAAACTGCACAATTGGCTATGTGGGATCCCGTCTCTAACTACTAGACCACAAGGAGGCTTTTAAAAATGCTTTAAAGATATAGAGAGTATGATACAGACTATACGTTGTGATTTTAGAACGTGTTTAGGCCATGATGGAGATTTTGAGGTTCATTTTTATACACAAGTGTGATGTCAAAATCCAAGGGAAAAGTGAAGTCAGAGAGAAATTAAAATAAAAAATAATAATCACTGATTATGGCAATTAATGTTTCCTTCCTTTGCATGATTTAGAAGGTTCCAGTTAAATATTAATACATCAAATAATAGTACAATAATAATTAGTACTTCATATGTGCTTCATGAATTTAAAGAACACTTTTTGATACATTGTCTGGTTTGACCATCTGTGCAACAGATTTCTTTGTTGCACTTTCACCTATAGTCCCAAAACACAAACTTGGGTTTTCTTTTTTTTTTTTTTAATATTAGACATTCTGAC